CTGTCCAGGTGGGTTCCTGTTGCTGCCCTTCCTGTGGTTGGTGAACGTTCTCTGGTTTTCCCGCCCGGCCTTCCTGGCCCCGCCCTTCGCGGAGCAGCCGCACCTGAAACGCTGTGAGAGCGCAAGGCATGATGGGAGTGCGGAATGCTGGGANGGAAATTCCCAAAAATCCAAAGTTCAGGGAATTCTGGGATTGGAGGATCCCGAAAATCCGAAATTTGGGAATTGTGGGATTGGGGATTCCTGAAAATTCTGGGAATGCTGGGATTGGAAATTCCCAAAAAAATAAAAAAAAAATTCAGGGAATTCTGGGATTGGGGAATTCTGGGATTGGGGATTCCCGAAATTCTGGGAATGCTGGGATTGGGGATTCCCCAAAAAATCCAAAATTCAGGGAATGCTGGGATTGGGGATTCCCGAAAATCCAGAATTTGGGAATGCTGGGATTGGGGATTCCCAAAAATCCGGGAATTCTGGGATTGGGGATTCCCGAAATTCTGGGAATTCTGGGATTGGGGAATTCCCAAAAAATCCAAAATTTGGGAATGCTGGGAGTGGGGAATTCTGGGATTGGGGATTCCCAAAATTCCGGGAATGATGGGATTGGGGAATCCCAAAAAAATCAAAAAATTCGGGAATTCTGGGATTGGGGATTCCTGAAAATTCTGGGAATTCTGGGAGTGGGGAATTCCAAAAAATCCCAAATTTGGAAATTCTGGGATTGGGGAATTCCCCCAAAAAATCCCAAAATTCAGGGAATTCCCAAAAAAACCAAAAATTCAGGGAATTCTGGGTTTGGGGAATTCCAAAAATTTGGGAATTCTGGGATTGGGGAATTTAAAAAAAAAAATCCAAAATTCAGGAATTCCGGGAGATTTTGGGGAGAATTTGGGGATTTTTGGGGCTGGATTTGGTAAAATTTGAAGGGATTTGGGGCTGATTTTTTTGGGCTGATTTTGGGTTATTTTTGGGTTAATTTGGGGTTAATTTTGGGTTATTTTTGGGTTAATTTTGGGCTGATTTTGGGTTAATTTTGGGTTATTTTTGGGTTATTTTTGGGTTATTTTTGGGTTGTGTTTGGGTTAATTTTGGGTTATTTTTGGGTTAATTTTNTCCCGCCCGGCCTTCCTGGCCCCGCCCTTCGCGGAGCAGCCGCACCTGAAACGCTGTGAGAGCGCAAGGCATGATGGGAGTGCGGAATGCTGGGAGGGGGGATTCCCGAAAATCCGAAATTTGGGAATGATGGGAGGGGGGAATGATGGGATTGGGGATTCCCGAAATTCTGGGAATTCTGGGATTGGGGAATCCCGAAAATCCAAAATTTGGGAATGCTGGGAGTGGGGAATCCCAAAATTTCAGGGAATTCTGGGATTGGGGGATCCCGAAAATCCAAAATTTGGGAATTGTGGGATTGGGGGATCCTGAAAATCCAAAATTGGGAATGCTGGGAGTGGGGAATTCTGGGATTGGGGATTCCTGAAATTTCTGGGAATTCTGGGATTGGGGAATTCCCAAAAAATCCAAAATTCTGGGAATGCTGGGATTGGGGATTCCCGAAATTCTGGGAATTCTGGGATTGGGAATTCCCGAAATTCTAGGGATGCTGGGATTGGAGATTCCCAAAAATCCAAAACTCGGCAATTCTTGGATTGGGGGATTCCCAAAAAAACCCAAAACCTGGGAATGCTGGGATTGGGGAATTCGGGGATTGGGGAATCCCAAAAAATCCGGGAATTCTGGGATTGGGGATTCCTGAAATTGGGGAATTCTGGGACTGGGAATTCCCCAAAAATTCCAAATCTGGGAATGCTGGGATTGGGGAATCCCGAAAATCCAAAATTTGGGAATGCTGGGATTGGGGTTTCCCAAAAAAAATCCAAAATTCCGGGAATTCTGGGATTGGGGATTCCTGAAAATTCTGGGAATTCTGGAAATGGGGAATTCCAAAAAATCCCAAATTTGGGAATTCTGGGATTGGGAATTCCCGAAATTCTAGGGATGCTGGGATTGGAGATTCCCAAAAATCCAAAATTTGGAAATTCCCCAAAAAACAAAAATTCAGGGAATTCTGGGTTTGGGGAATTCCAAAACTTTGGGAATTCTGGGATTGGGGAATTTAAAAAAAAAAATCCAAAATTCGGGAATTCCGGGAGATTTTGGGGAGAATTTGGGGGATTTTTGGGGCTGGATTTGGTAAAATTTGAAGGGATTTGGGGCTGATTTTTTTGGGCTGATTTTGGGGAATTTTGGGTTATTTTTGGGTTATTTTTGGGTTAATTTTGGGTTAATTTTGGGGTGATTTTTGGGCTGATTTTGGGTTATTTTTGGGTTATTTTGGGGTTAATTTTGGGTTATTTTTGGGTTATTTTTGGGTTATTTTTGGGTTATTTTTGGGGTTATTTTTGGGTTATTTTTGGGTTGATTTCGGGTTATTTTTGGGTTATTTTGGGGTTATTTTGGGGTTGATTTTGTGTCATTTTGGCTGATTTTGGTTCATTTT